TGGCATAGTAGTTAAGAGCTTAGCTGCTAACCAAAAGGATGGCAGTTTCAATCTACCAGCTGCTCCTTGGAAACGCTATGGGGCAGTTTTACTCCCTCCTATAAGGTCACAATGAGTCGCAGTCGACTCTACAGCAATGTTTTATTTTTTTTAAAGTGTATATGAAGACTGAGCTTTAATGTATATTGCCATAGTTTTCCCAAGTGGTTGTACCAGTTTATACTCCTGCTGGCAACGTACAAAAGTTCCAGTTGCTCCATATCCTCATTAGCACTTGGTGGTGTCAATTTTTTAATTTTAGTCATTCTAATGGCTATATATTTTACTGCTGCTTTAATTTTAATTTCCTTGCCAAACTTATTAGACATTTGGATATCCTTTTTTTTTTTTTTATGGGAAATGCCTATCCAAAATTTTGTCCATTTAAAAAAATTGAGTTGTGTGTTTATTGTTTATTCTGCATAACAAGTTACCTCAAGACCTAGAGATTTACTATATCATAAACATTTAGTCACTGAGAACCCAGGGTGGAAAGGGAAAGGGCAAGAGTGCTGACACATTGTGGGGATTGCAACTAATGTCCTAAAACAATTCATGTGTAAAAACTGCAAATGAAAAACTAAAAATAAATAAAAATAAGCATTTATTATCTCACATTTTTCTGTGGGTCAGGAATTCTGGAGGGGCTTAGCTGGGTGGTTCTGGCTTGAGGTCTCTCATGAAGTTGCAGTCAAGATGCTGGCTGAGACTGCCATTATCTGCAGGCTTGACTAGGGTTGGAGGATCACTTCTAATTGATTAGTCAGATGGCTGGCAAGATGGTGGTGGCTTAAGAGTTTCCTCACAACACTGTGGCTGGCCTTCCCTAGAGTGAGTGACCCCACAGAGTGCAGGGTGGAGGCTACCACGTCCTTTATGACCAAGCTTTGGAAGTTACACGTCGTCATTTTGGTAATACACTACTGGTTACACAAACCCAAACCCAAACCCATTGCTGTCGAGTTGATTCTGACTCATAGTGACTCTATAGGACAGAGCAGAACTGCCCCATAGGGTTTCCAACGAGCGACTGGTGGATTTGAACTGCTGACCTTTGATTAGCAGCCAAGCTCTTAACCAGTGCACCACCAAGTCAGCCTAAATCAAAGTGGGAATGGACTATCTAAAAAGGGTGTAAATCCCAAGAGGCAAGGATCATTGGGGACCATTTTGGAAGCTGGTTATCACAGGTTGTCTTTCTTCCTATATATTCTGGTTATAAATTCTGTCAGATGTATTTATTCGAAGTATCTTTTCCTAGCTTGTGACTTGCCTTTTCACTCTCTTAATCATGCCTTTGGATGAACTGAAGTTCTTAACAGCCCTAAGATAAAATTCACCCATTTAAAATACACATTTCAATGAGTTTTAGTATATTCACAGTTACACATTCATCAAATTGATTTCAGAACATTTTCATCACCCCGAAAAGAAACCTTGTACCTATTAGCCATCAGTCCCCATTCTCCTGGCAAACTCCCAACCTTAGGAAAACACTAATCTACGTTTTCTGTATATAGATGTGCCTGTTTTGGATATTTCATACAAATGGAGTCATACAATCTATGGTCTTTTGTGACTGCCTTCGTTCACTTAGTGAAAAATTTTCAAGTTCATCCATGTTGTAGCATATGACAGTATGTCATTATTACTACCAAATCATAGTCCATCTTACAGATGTATCACATTTTATTTATCCATTCGTCAGTGGATACACACTTGACTCATGTCCACTTTTTGGCTATAAGTAATGCTCTGTGAACATTCATGTACACGGTTTTGTATAAACATATGCTGTAATATAGTAACGTCAGGCCTAGTACACATCCACCAGGAGGGATGAGAATCAGGATCAGCCCAAAGCGGATTCCTGTGAGGTGGATGTCAAACATACCTCCACTCTCCCAACTTTTTCATCATTTCTGACACCAGCTGTCCTCCCCACGGCTCTACTTCTCTGCTGGGTTCAGTAATTCGTTGCAATGGCCACACAGAACTCACAGACCATACTCATGACTACATGGTTTATTAGCAAGTTACAGACTCCAACTCACGATTAGGATCAACTTGGAAGTAACATACAATTCAGGAGACAGGTTAGTGTGTCCGTTAGGACAGCTTCCAACCAGGACAGCTCTCAGCTCCTTCTCAGCTGTGCCCACAGGCAGACCCTTCTCTTGGCTGTGCCCACCACCAGGCTTTCTCTCGGCTGTGCCAGCCAATGGCCCTTCTTTCAGTCATGCCAGCCTGCAGACCATCTCTAGGTCTCTGCCTTGCTTAGGTATTACAGCTCTTTAGCTCCACTCCACCAGCAAAACTCCTGCTCAAAGGCGTTCAGCCCTCTGTGGGATTGGCCCTTATATTCAATTTCAAGGCATGGCCCTCCCTCCCAGCCAGACCATGAACTGACCAATCCCCTCAGCAGACCACAGTAACTCAATTTGCATAGATATCGACCAGTTCCCTCAAGGTCACTTAACCCTATTAGGCAGCTTTATGCACCCTATTTGCATAGTGGAGCCCTGGTGGCACAGTGGTTAAGAGCTTGGCTGCTAACCAAAAGGCGGGCAGTTTGAATCCACCAGCCGCTCCTTGGAAACCCTATGGGGCAGTTCTACTCTGTCCTATGAGGTGCTGAGTTGGAATTGACTGGATCGCAACGAGTTTCGTTTGGTTTTTTTATTTGCATAGTATACTGAGCAAGATTATGCCCTAGCCAATCTATTTGTCAGAAGTATAAATCCAAGACCAGAAAGGCATATATAAGAGAAACCCATGGCACTGCATGTTTTCAATTTTTGTAGGTACCTAGAATTTCTGGGTCAAACTGCAATTCTCTGTTAAGTTTTTGAGGAATTGGTGCACTGCTTTCCACAGCGGCTGCATCATTTCATTCTCACCAGCGATGTACAAGGAGTGTTCCAGTTTCTCCACATCCTTCCCAACACTTATTTTCTGTTTATTATTGTTATAGGCATCTTAGAGGCATAAAGTGGTGTCTCATTGTGGTGTCAACTCACATTCCCCTGATGACTAATGATGTTGAGAAACTTGTCATGTGCTTACTGGGCATTTGTAAATCTCCAGAGAAATGTCTGTTTAGATCCTTGCCCATTTTTAAATTGGATTATTTATGTTTTTATTATTGAGCTGTAAGATATCATTATATATTTTCGGACACGTCTCTTATCAGATGATTTGCAAATATTTTCTATGAAGTGAGTTGTCTTTACCTTCTTGATGATATTGTGTGTAGCCAAGTTTTTAACTTGAGTGAAGTCCAATTTATCAATATTTTATGGTTAGTGGTTTTTGTTGCTGTTGTTGGGTGCCGTCAAGTCGGTTCCGACTCACAGCGACCCTGTGTGCGACGGAACGAAACACGGCCCGGTCCTGCACCATCCTCACAATCGTTGTTATACTTGAGTCCATTGTAGCAGCCACTGTTGTCAATTCAGTAGTTTTTGGTTCCTATTTAACCTCCCAATTCCCTTTTTTTAATTGTCAGTTTAGGTCCCTTTCTTTTTGGAGGCTTGCCTCTAAGGCCTGAGTGATCTTTGATTATCTATTCATAGTTAAGAAAGAAACAGTAAGATTCCGATTGGAAGCTCCATGTGCAAGGGGAAGCTCATCAGCTGATGGACTTCACTAGAGGGCAGAGCTTTCCAACCTTTTGCACATCAAGGCATACAGAGAAAATGACAATAGAGGTGCAGTACACTGGAGGTAAAATGGAGATTTGGGGGTATCGATACGGGCTTGGTAAAAGAATATATATATGCATTTTCTTTATGTAATTATGATAAAGCAAATAAAATACAAATTTTGTGTTCTTCCAAATAAAATCTTTAAAATCTTAATGATAAACTTGAGCTTGATTCCACTAGCATATCAGGTTTTAATGGATAGACTGATCACATGCGACTCCTGATAAAGAATTTTTAAAGATGATCCATTCAAATTCTTTATAAGTGTTGCTTGCATATGCAGCAATATGGACAGAAGCATCTTTGCTACATTTATCAGAATTCAGATATGATGTATTTAAATTGTTAATTCAAGTGTGCTATCACTCTTCCAACCTAGAGTGCTTCTTTTTATTCACTGACTTTTCTTGAGTCCAATCAAACATTTTCATGTCAAGTATTTAAAAATACTTATGGAACTTTTCTTAAGGCATCCAAATGTTACTCGTCTTAAATTATACACTGACTAGACATCCAATTAAAACATTTTTACCTTCACTTTTTCAGTTTCGTTTTTGCTTTGAATCCATAAACATTGTCAGCAAACACTAATATATTTTCACTCTGTCCTTGGAATTTTCATTCTAGTGCTCAAGAATGTCAGCTAAGCAAGCCAAGCCAGTTTTTGAGGCCAAGAACGATCCTTCAACAAATCTGCAAAGTGAGAATCATTCACACTCCCAAAAATTTCAGTTATTCTTTAAGCTCATCAACTCTTAACAAAACTTGCCTTCTATTTTGGAAAGAACTTCTGTTTTTAGTATGAAACAGTAGACAGTGGTATTCTGATCCCATTTATTTGCATAAAGCTGAACACAGGGCTGTAGTGCTTGGATTTTGATGGCGTAACATTGAATTTAAATCCTCAGGCAAACTTTTTTTTTTCTTATTCAGATTTCCCCCAGTACTCATTTGTGTGTGTTAATTTCTGTACAACTTTATCACATGTGGATGTTTGCAAATCTACCACCATAGTCAAGATATAGAACAGTTTACAGGCACACTTATACCAGAGTCCTTCCACGAAGCAAACAATGTAATACTTGAATCTCAGAGTTGTCAATGAACTCTGGTGTAACTAAAGCTTCTACTCTTTTCTGTCATGGTCCCCACATCAATACAATGCAGTTTTGTAGTATCTCATTTGTTTAAAATATTCATCTATCACTTCAAGTATTTCATTGCAAGTTACTGGTTTGGTACTTTTTCAGAAGAAAGTTTCTTCCCAGCCATTTTTTTTTTTTTTCAGGGATTCTAACGGTATTAGATGAGCCCAGATTCATCAGTCTGCAAAAGAAAAAAATTTGAATTTAATAATCTTCTGTACTTACATTGTCTGTTACCTGTGGGTTCAGAGCATCTATGTCACCATTTCAGCTACAGCAGACTGTTTCCTATTCCCTTTGTTTCACTGGCCCAAACACTGAGTGGCTAATTTCCATGAGGGTTCATAAAATGAGCGATTCTGCAATTGTGTAAAGCATTTGAGCTTTAGTATTTAATTGCAAGACCTTGTTAACTATTTTCTTGAATGCAATCTGATACTATTATAACTCATAAACTAACTATAAAGAGGACTTGCAACAATGTGGTATGGGCAAAAGACAAATCCACCAATGGAATGTGATAGAAAATCCAGAAATAAACCCAAGCTTCTATGATAAAATCATTTTCAACAAGGGGTCCAAAGCAATTCAATTCACAACAGAAGGAGCTCAATGTAATTACCTAGTGCACAGTTATTCCCCTCCAAGTATATCTTGCATTGGAGCTCAGGGTTGGTTATCTTTACTGACAAGTTAGGATTGACAGAACGGGCATAAACATATCAAACATCATGAAGATGGCCCAGGAACAGGCAACATTTCACTGTTACATGTAAGGTTGCTGTGAGTCAGAGGCGACTCAATGGCAGCTAACAGGCCACCAGTGATGATAACCAGTTTAGCCACTGAGTCCATTGTGGCAGGAAACTGTGATCTTTTCTAGCTGATTAAGAGCCTCCTCTGCACCAGAGGCCTTTCATGAACATACTTCTAGTCTAGGCCCACAGTCCTTCCCTAAACTGTCTTGTCACTAAGCCTTTTATCTTGCTACTAAGAAGCTTCTAGGCAGTCATACCATTAGTCATTACCCAGGAATACACCCAGGAACTCAGGTTCTCTCCGACCAAGAGAATGAGGCATCTGCTTAGTCTTCCCTGGAAAGATTTCCCTTCTCTGCTATCCATCAGTCACTTGAGTGGTTCTCTAGCACTCTAGCAGTCTGACTCCGGCTGAGGCTGGCATACTGGGTAGAGAGCTACCTATAAACTAGGAACAGGTAGGGCAGTGAGGTGATTCAGATCTGTGGACCACATCGGGAATTGGCCAACTTTTTCTGTAAAGGTCAGATACCAAGTATTTTTGGTTTATGGTCTGTCACAACTCAACCCTGCTATTACAGGACAAAAGCCATCACAGACAATACATAATGAATGGGCATGGCTGTACTCCAATACTCTATTCACAAAAACAGTAAGCAGGCCAGATCTGGTCCATAGCGTGTAGCTTACTGACCTCTGGGAACCCAGACAATTGATGTCCTTGAGGCAAGATGGAAAGGGGCACTGCGATTCTTTCTAGACAAACACATATTCCTTCTCATGTTAATCTGTTTATCATAATAGTAAAAAATACCAATCTTTAGATTCACATGCACATTCCTAGTGTCAGAGGCCGCATTAATGTATTCCAAGAAACGATCTTAATCAGCATCCATATTGAGAATCACCACTTAACCTATCAGTCTTAATGCACTGGCCAAACCGGGGAAGTGAATGGGAAAGTTATCATTCTGGTATCCCCTCAAAGTACATTTCCACTACAGATGTTAAGAATTAATTAGGATGAAGACTAAATGACTTCCATTTGGCCTTTTTTTTAACATTAGCCTTGTAATATCTCAATGTCAGGATTATTGAGATTCTACTGAACCCACTATGAAGCAGATTTGAGTCAGAATCCTATTTATCTTCTAGTTCCCATAAACCCCATTCTGACTTTTGATCACAGTGGTATCCCTGGTGCCCATGAATTACTTTAAGTCAGTATCTAATATTAGTGGTTAAGTTTCAATGTCTGTTTCTCCAATACTTAAATGGGTAAATGACTGCAGAATGCCCCAAGCTAGGAAGGTCCATCATGTGCATGCGATTACAGGGTCCTTACTTTGGGCTTCTAGCTTCTCCTTCAGTCAAGGTGTTCAGTGTCTGAATTCTCCATTGTGTCATGGGGCCCCAGAGGTGTTCTGGTTATTCTATCACGTAAGCTCTCAGTCTGAACCCAAATACCAAAGGCTTGAAATTCCTGTCAATTTCATGATATAAGACATCCACCATGCTGTTTATAATTATGACCCAGACTACTTTAGCTTCTAGAGCTGCTAACCTGGGATCCCATCTCAATTTCAGCACCCTTTCTATCAGGCTAGTAAAGCTCTCTGAAACAAGAATATTTCTGAATTCATCAATTGACTCCTCATGGGGAGAAGGGAGTGAGTGTTCTGAGGACTTGTTAGAAAACATCCTCCAGGGCAGAGTGGGATGCTGAACCAGTCCGGCCTTCTTGTCACCTTGAATCCTTTCCGCTACATTATCCCAAGAACATTCTGGCCTTTTCACTTCACTTAGCCTAGGTCCAGGTTTCAAACAGCCAACCACTCAAATCACAAGAAATAAACCACCAGTGTCCGAGGCAAAACTGCTTCTCTGCACCGGTGTAAGTAATTCCAGCCTAAACCAAAACTATGTTCCATTCTCGTTAACATTTACAAACTTTGAATATAAATTACCTTACTCCCAATTGTTGATCCTATTAAGCAAAATTCCAAGATTTAAGATGATCTTTTCCCTTGCACTGTATTATCCAATGCCACTCTATCCCACAGTTGTGACATTGTTTGTCCATTTTAAACTGGTCTGCCTGTGGCAGCAGTTACTCAGCCACCACTCGCCCGTTAGGCATCTTCCGTGGGTACCAAGCGGCCACCATCACAGCCCACAGCAGACTATATATACCTCCTTACCCCAGAACATGAGGTGTCTCATGTTATACAGTTACCTTCTGTATAACACAGTGAAAACGGTGCCCGGTCCTGCACCAGCCGCTATGTCAAGCCATCTCACTGAGGGTCTCTCTATCAGACAAATTGTGGTATTAATGGAGAAAAGATCACTACTAGTTTGTAGCAACCAAGTATTTAAATCACCTCAGCCCACTTTGTCATGTCTCACTGTTTTGTCTACAGTGAAGTACACATTCACCGCATACTCCCATGCACGCCGGGTGAAAAGGCACAGGTCACTGCCTTTAATCCTTGATATAGCCTATTACGCTTGACAAAAATTAACCGCAATCTTTTCTTACTGTAAGAATCCTACCATTCACTCTGGAAATGACAACTAGACTGGAATGAAAACACCACTTAAGACCGGGAATACCTAGAAAACACTTTACCTTTGTATCCCCAACAGCTAGAAAAGTGTCTGATAGGCCATCTTCAGAAAATGCTGGGAACTGGTTTATGTTCTGCTGTGTATATTCTCAAAAAGAATTGTAAAAAAAAAAAGTTAAGTAAACTCAGATGTGGATGTGAATTTCACTTACATTCACTCAATACTAAACTCCTTAGGTCTAGTTTACATACACTTTCATGCACACATAAACACCATTACGAGAAATCTCTATCAAAATCATCACGAGAACTTTAAAAAAATCAAAGAGTGGGGTGAAGGGGAGACGTTTCAAGAGTAATAAAATGAGCGTATCCACTGGTTAAGAGCACCAGCTTTGCAGTTTGACAAAATCTGAGTATTTACTGGTTATATGATCTTGGGCAAATAAAGCCTTTCTAGCCTAGCTACAAAAGGATTGTTATACCACAGGTGTTGTGGGAATTAAATAACATTTACAAAGCACTTAAACACACTATCTGGGAATACAGCGCAAGAGGCAGTCACTATTATTTGCTCCACAGACTGTCCTATTTAGATTTATAAATATGTGGACAGAACCAAGAACAAAAGAGGAAGACATAGGGCAAAACTCCTATCTAAAAACACACTGGCAGCCTAAATGAGATCCAACACTTAGCTGGATCAGCCTTCTTCTTCTGGTATGTGTCAATTAGGTGTGATTTTTTTCTGAAGATGTGCTAAACCTTGGGCTAATTAAGTGTGGACTCTTGTTTCCCCCCCACTTACTTTCTACTACTCCTACCCCACTGCCTTGCTTGCGCTGGCCTCGCCCTTTCCCCCAGCAAGAGAGCTAGACAGGCAGCACCACGCTCCCCGACATACACTATCACCACAAAACTAGGATTCTCAGCCTTTAATCTACCCCTCTATAAACCCAACTCCTCTGGCTACATTCTAAAACACGATTTTGTACAAAGATCTTGAGTTGTCACTTCTTATTCCAAAATTGAGAATGGATAGGATATAATCCATCAGGCAGAGAGTATTAGTTCCAGATACTTATTGGATAACTAAATTCAAGATATATTTAAATTATCAAAAGACTGAGACAGACATGCATTACCCATAGGTTTTACAAATGAAGATCAGCAAATAGTTTCTATGTTCCATTACCAACATTCACCTATGATCTTGTTAACCCAAACTAGAGGCAATACTGCATGGCTGAGTACAGATTCTGGAGTCAGACCACCCGGCTTCAGATCCTGGCATTACTGCCTTAATAGCTGCTTGACCTAAAGTGACATCATAGACTTTTTAAAGATTAAATGACTTAAGATATGTGAAGTACTTACAAATTATCTGAAATATACTGAATAAAACCTAAGTGCTATGAAGATTAGCAAACTAAGAAAACTCAATTAGTCTACAGCAAATGCCTGAGAACTGGTCACAAAAATAACCTAAGTTAAAAGACACTGTGAGTATGCATTTTTGATGTCCTCAGGGTTTGTGTGAAGGCTGAAATTATTTACTGTAACTCATCACCAAACGGAGATGGTCACTTTAATATCTAGTTACCCACTCAATGTATTTTCTGGGAATATTCCACTTGTCTATTTATTAACAGATATAGATGTTCTTCAGCCCAAGGAACACTGCACTGGGAACTAAGCTCCAACAGGATGTTCGCAGGATGATTTTAAATACAGCGTAACCAGGTTTAAAGAACAAACCAGAAACCCAGACCAAAGAATTCTCTGTAAACTGAAGAGCTGCACCAGCGAGTTTTCTATTTGCATCTGAGTTTATTTAAACACAGTTCTCAAAACATGTGAGTGAAACTGGGCCTTCCTTTGGTAAGCAAAGGACCTGAAAAGAAGGCTTCAATTTAAAAAATGAACAGGCAAAGTCTTCAGTTCATCCATGACCCAGGTGTGGTGTTCCCTTCTCTTATCCTGTACTGTGAAGCTCCTGGTATTTCTCACATAGCCTAAAAGCCAGAAGAACAAGAGTACATCTATGGTGGAATGTATTGTCACTCGCTAATAACTAGTTGAAATACCATTATCCCCTTGTAAAAGAGCTTGAAGAAATCGCCTTTTTTAGGCATACACTGTGTAACTCTTTTCTTATTTCCTGCTATATATAATACAGATTACATAAAGGCGGACAAATCCACATTTAGATAAGCAATAAGCGTTTGCTGTATTGAAATATCTTTAGTTCTAATACTAGCAGTACAGAGTTACAGAGCATAATTTTAACACTTAATTGCAAGTCTATTAATTATGGTACTTTTAATGAACTGGAGGAAAACGGGTATTTCTGTCTTTAAATTTACTACTGACAACTTAACCTGAACAGTTCTGCTAAGCATCGATATGTTAGAAAGGAAAGTACAAATCAAACTTTATTGTTACTTTGTTGCCATTTGGTAGCATTTTACACACAGGCTTTGATCTTCAGAATACCCTGGATTCAGTAGAAAAACCTTTTAAATGAAGTTTTGTACAATAGAAACTTCTCGGCAGTCAAAATTTAGACTGTAAAAAAATACATGCAAAACATACTTTTCTGAAAACACTTAACTTTGAACAAAGCACCGAACTACACAAATGCAGAATGAAAACAGCATTTCAACTCCACCAAAAGTAGTCATCATAAAAGGTGTAAAAGTCACCTAACTTCACTAGGCACTGTTCACTTTTTAAACAGGAGACAATAAAAAATATTGTCCACAAACAATATCCCAACTCTGGAGCAAGTTTCAGAAAATCTTCAACTTCATGCTTTAATAGCGGCCTAGAAAGAAAGAAAAGAGTGGAAAAAAAAAAAGAGTTATGTTTGAAAGCTGTCCCAAGTTTTACAAGGACTTCTAAAAGACACCAACGGTGACACAATACACATTACGAGGAGCCCAAAGGGTGTTTTTATCAATTTTCTTGAACCTCGCAAACATTTGGGGCATATGGATGTAACAGATAATCGGTACAGATACTACTACTTGAATTAACCTATCTGCAAAAGGAGTGAGTTATTCTGTTGTAGTCTAGTGGAGACCCTAGGCGGTGGAAACAGTTAACACGCTTGGCGGCTAACGGAAAGGCTGGATGTTGGAGTCAACCCAGAGATGCCTTGGAAGGAAGACCTATGGAGATATACTTCTCAAAAACCAGCCACTGAAAACCCCACGAAGCCCAGTTCTATTCTGTCATCCATCCGAATCGACTCAATGGCAACTGGTGGTGGATGAGAAACTATCTGTTCTGTAAGCCTTCACCTGAAGTACAATAAAATATTAAAAAAAAAAAAAAAAAAAAAAAAAAAAAATCACGAGAAAAACTTACGAGGAGAGTACGACCGAGATCTGGAACGTGATCTGTATCCTCCACGACTGTAGTAGGGAGAAGGTGAGCGCCTTCTGTGAAAAAATGTCAAGGCTGTCTAAATCTCCATAGAGCACAACTGAACTAAGGAACATATAGATTAAACACTATCCCTTTATCAGCCCCCCAAACGAGCAAGGTCTCCACTCCCTAATTCTACAGTCATGGTGTTGCAATGTCTGTTAGTCTTGAGAATGAAGTACATTGTTGGCCTCAGGCCAAATAATTGCCTTCTTCAACCATCAGAGATCAACTATTCCTTACTATGTTTGATCCACCAATAACTTGCCAATCTTTTAAGTTTTGTGAAGTATAATGTTAGGGGAATAAAAATCTCTTAACATCAATTCTAACCACACCCTCAGGGACTAACATGCAAAACCTATTTCACTAGTAGCTACGGCTGCTAACCAAAAGGTTGGCAGTTTGAATCCACCAGCCACTCCTTGGAGACCGTATGGGGCAGTTCCACAATGTCCTATAGGCTTGCTATAAGTCAGAATTGACTCAATGGCAATGGTTTTTTTTAAAAAATTGAATAATTCTCTAGCATAAACCCAATTGTTTTTTGTAAATACAGTCATCTGGCTTAAAGGTATTTTCATGAATTTTATGCAGTGTAATTTTCTGTGATGCTGCTTATAAATAATTTAATTACCACAACACTAGTAGACTAGTCTTGAATGAGACTTCCCACCGTGGCCCGGATGTTCGCTCCCCTCCCGGTTTACCTGTAAATCTGATCCCTGTCTTGAGCAGCTCTCCATCCTCCTCCACCTCCGCCGCCTCCTCTGCAAAAGGCAGAACAGCAACATAAACATTCAGTTTTGTGAGCTTCTGAAAGAATACAGAACTCACGCAATGAACGACAGATCCCACACAGCGTAAGTGGAATTAAGTTTCCTGGAGCTAAAGTGACTGAGAGCTGTTTTTTTGCCACCCTTTTTAGAACCTGGCTTAGAGCTCTCTCTGGTGGCTAAAATGAGTATCACCAGGATACATAACATCTCTAACCAAATGCTCTTGAGGGAACTTAAAAACCAAACAAACCTAAGTCCTTCATCTTTTCTTCCTCCAAAAATTAATCTCTGAAGTGTCACTTAATACTGCTGAAGAAAACTGTTTTCGTGGGTGATGAAAGCTGGACAATGTCAAGAGTACAAGGTCTCACACTTCCGCAGAAACCCACTGACAGTTCTGACAACTCATTAAATATATTACCAAATACCATGCAAAACACACCCTGTCAATCCCATACCACGCTAAGGTATTCGGGATAATGTTATGTTTTAAACTTAGACAAATTTACATTTTGATAAGCAAGGAAGGGCCAAAAATCCCTGCTATTGCTAATGTTACTTTTATCTTTGAAGGTATTCGCAAGAAATTTTTTACAAGTATGAATGGCATTTCCCTATATCATTATACTAAATTAAACGTATTTCAATAATTACTTCTCCAGACGCTTAAGAAACAAAGCACTGTTTTTCAAAACACAGCCCATGAAACTTGCTCAAAACAAAACAAAACAAAACAAAAAAACCAAAAAAACAAACCTGAGGCATAGTTTTGTTTTGTTTTGACTGTGGTATTTAGTGGATTCAGTTCTGAGTTACACTCAAGGTTTAAAAAAGAAAATATGTTACTGCACTAAAGTAACCTAAGTCATAATTAAAGTCCCTCTATTTACAGTCTAGAATAACTTACTGAACAGAAATCCAAATACCCGTTATCAAGTTAAAGACATATAACTTTAAAATCTAGTTTAAATTCAACAATGATAAACACAGTATTTTTATTAAAGCCTATAACTTAAGATAATAATGCTGCTTCAAATTACAGCTCAGCTAGAGGAGTTAAAATAACTTGAATCCCAGCTATTTTACCTGTATGATCTGCTGTAGTAGTCCCGATCATCATAGCCTCGGTCATATCCTCTGTCATAGTAATCTCGACGGCGTGAGCTGCCACTATGAATAATAATATATCTTCTTAGAATAGCCAAGTGGTCTTCCCTATGTTCCTAGTCATGACTTTTGTTACTTAAAAACTGGTTCAGCTGCTTGTTCCCATCATCATCTCCCTTGGGTCTTGGAGATGACATACAACACAAACAACAAAGCTCTCTGGACAAGACTGGGCAACTGCTCCAAGTATCAACGTTTTATTCTCTGCTCCAGAGGAAAAATAATGGCGATATCTACCAACAATTCACAAACTATTAATGTACAGGCAAGGTTTTCGGGTATGTTAACTGGCAAGTATTTTTCTCTTTGTGGATACATAACATTGCTTTCTCTCTTCCCTTGTTATGATATAAATACAATATATTTAAAAATCTCTTTTGGTTAAGGAGGCATATACATATAGCTCCTTCTGGCTTGCTTTCAACTAACTCAATCAATTCACTAATCCCTATTTTTCCTTACAGGAAAGGGTAATAAAATCATACATGGGAACTGTTCTATTTTTGGAGTGGGAAAACGTTCGCCTTGTTAAAGATAAAGCAATTGTACATAATTATGATTCCCTCCCTTACGTAAGAGCATTGTATTTAAATTTAAAAAGGAATTCAACTGATAGCTGTTAGTAAAAGATACTGGTAAGTGATGATGAAAGAGAAGTACTCTCACAATCCAGTACAACAGCTCTGCAGTCACAAGTGTCACTGAGTCGCCATGAGACACTTGGTTTAAGAAAGGAAAAAACTAAAATATTCAATTCACTAGATTTATACTCAAACTTGATTTTCCTTATAAAGCTGAAGTTTCTATTGTGAGAAACAAATGCCTGGAATTCCCTAGCAAAGCCAAATACATGGCATTTCTTTATGATAAAGTAGACATTATCTATTTTAAAGGTGTTAACTCCAAATTTGTTACAGAAAACAGAATTGTTTCCACTGACTATATTCTATTGGCTATAGTTTAGGTCATTTAAAACAAAACCAGGATAAATGATTTGTATTGTGGCAGGAGAGACGAAGTACCTAAGATGTCCCTCCAGTACATGTATTCCTTTGGGGAAGTGGACAAACTGAACCATAAATCAAATTTTTACTTTGAAAATAAACTTACTAGGTAGGTCTCCCCATATAAATTCCAGGTGTTGGGGTGTGTGGTCTTTTTGTTATGGAGAAATCAACTCTGATCCTCCGGCCATCAAGCTCCATTCCATTGGCACGCTCTTTAGCCTTATAAGAGATCAACAAGTTGTCACATACATTGTCGACAGAGACGTAACTTACCCACTAGCTATAAGGCTCCAAATGGATGTTTCAGTTAGTTACATCACATTATTTTAGCACTGCCCAGAACATTAAGGTTTACAATTTATATATGGGTTGTTTCTCCATGAAATAGTCATTTGTAAAAGCTAGTTATAAAAAACTAAAAAAAGCTTTGACAGGAGTTCGTAAACTATGGTCTGCGGGCTAAAACAGGCCAGCTACCCATTTTTGACCTTTATAGCTCATGAGCTAAGAATTAAATGGCTTAAAAAAAAAATTAAAAGAATATTTTTAATATGTGAAAATCATACACGATTCAAATTTCAGTGTCTATTTCACAAATAGTGTTTTACTGGAACACAACCACTCATTTACATGTTGGCTATGGCAGAGTTATAGTAGTTCTGACTGAAACCATGTGGATAAAAAGTCTAAATTACATATAACTCCTTTATCCAGAATATACAAACAAAAGAGAATGCAGTTGGAAACACCAGCAAACTCGGATTAGGGAAACAGGACAGCGATACTGCCAGCGTGACTTGATCAAATCATACTACTACTACTTTTTGGCATCTTTAGTATTTCATTTCTAAAATGAACCTGAATGACATCTTGAAGGGTTCTTTCAAATCTCAGAATGCCAATCATCCACTATTACTGGTTGCATTCAGCTTTTAGTTCTTCAGTAGATCCAATTACTTTTTAAAAATAAGCATACTTTTAATAAACAAGTAACACAAAATGATTTTTACCTAGAGCTTAAGCCTTCATCTCAACATTGACCTTAATCCTATCAGACTGTGTGCCACTATTTCCCAGAGCTTCTCTCTTCCGTATACTTGGAGATGACTTTAGCTATATCCAAACTCCAAAATTTCTTAATCCAGGCCCACATTCATGTTTAGATACTAAAATACACACTCAAATTCCTCTTTCCTTTGTCACAACTTCATCATTTTTGTTGCTTCCCATTCTTGAAAAACAGCTCAATGCAAACACTGATTACATATTTTAAATTAAAGGGTCACTAATATTCTTTAACTTTTAGATAAATGTGCACCGAAATAGTCAGCGTATGATGTGGTATGTCCAGATCTGCTTCAAAATAATGAGTGGAGGGCACGGACTTGGGCCATAAATGGATAATTATGAAGTGGGAGACAGGGTCACTTGTCCCAAGTCACACTTTTCTGTTATTCTACATGTACCTGAAATTTCCCAGTTTTTTTCTTAATTTCACATTATTGGCTTCAATATCCATTCTAAGAACGCATTTCTCCTTTAATTCAGTTACACTTGCATATCCTATCTACACTATAAAGTAAAAACTGTCCATATCCAAGTAGTTGGTCATTCGTATTTGGAATTAACAACAGAACTGATATTTCCAAAAGTACAGACAGACTTTTACTTACTTCCTTGGCATCATCTACATTTTCAAAATATACAAAAGCAAATCCTCTTGAACGCCTAGACTGCTGGTCATATACAATAGACACATCAGCAATGGGGCCATATTTAGAGAAAACTTCTCTAAGATCTCTTTCTGTGGTGTATAAGCTCAACCCAAATACTCCAAGACAACAGTTGGGATCAGGATTTGCCTAGAATTAGAGAAAGGGATTTTTTAAATTTGAAAATCTTGTCATATATAGCACAAGTTAAAACAAGGAAAAAAAAAAAAAAAAAAATCCTTAACAATAATGGTCAACAATTATCAATTAAACCAAACACCATTTGTTGAGAATGAGCAGAAAGAACGAGAGGAGTAATTTCAAACCGGTAATTGGGGAAACAGACCCTCATTGAACTGGAAAACAAATGGGCATCTTTTTAAGAATGTAATCTGGCTGAGGGATTAATCTTCTAGGAATTTATTCTAAAGAAAATTTACACTCACAACACGAACACGTAAGGATAATCAGAATAGCACTGTCTCTATCAGCCAAAATAAACTGTAAGCAATTTAAAATGCTGAACTGATAAAACACCCCTATGATGGGAGTGCTTTGAACTGCCAAAAGATATAAGATCATGTACAGTATGAGCCCATTTTTCTAGAAACATAACATATGCCAAGTGTTCATACATGTATAAAAACAAGGCCTAAGAGTAGGTGTACCCAACCATTTTAACAGTTATCGACCAGTTTGCAGAGCCCTGAATGCACAACAAGTGGTCAGGAGAAAGACCTAGTGATCTGCTCCTGTAAAGATTACAGCCTAGAGTACCTTACAGGGCAGTTCTACTCTGTTACACGGGGTCACTATAAGTCGAAAGGGACTCGTCGGCATCCAACAACAGTTTGCACTCATCACGATAAAAAAGGCGGTGGTGGTGGGGGATCCCCCCACAAAACAATGAACCATATATATCACTGACATTTCTGTTGTCATAATAAATTTACCTGAAGGTTACATTTATTTCATACATTAACCATTTACTAAGGAGAAATTCTACTCTCTTCTCAAAAACAGTCCCCAACAAAGCCACCTGGATTATATAATGAAATCACTATATAAACTCTAAATTCTACCTCACTTGGAACCTCTCATGGAATCCAAGAAAAGCCTTAATAAAAAAGAAATTAACTTAAATGGGAAAGTCAGGAGAACACCCTGTAAAAAAATCACAGGTGTGAGCCTACAGGCGTTGTACTAATATACTAATTCTGTAATAGTAATGTACAATAGCGTTTTCTTGGTAAGCTGAGTTATACTAGTTTGTCATTACTTTGCTTAAGTGTGAATGACAGCCCAAATCCAGCCCATTCTTTAATTTTTAAAGCTGTAATCATTTAAATATTTAAAATGTTCTGAAAGAACTATCTCTAAACACTAAAAAGCCTCTGAAGACAACTCATGTCTCACTGCTAATGTTCCGTAGTCACCTAAAATCAGTTCTAACGTCAAATAAAACAAAAGCATCTTATAAAAGTTGTTGTAGGCAGTCAACAGCTTCGAAAACAGAAAATATTCATCTCACCCGATTCCCAACATGACGCCTGCGAGTAGACATGGGAGAATGACTGTGGCTGTGCCGTCTGCGATAATCTCGACTGTAAGACCTGCTACGGGATCGCCTATGGGAGCGGGACCGAGACCGAGACCTCGTGTAATGCCTTCGAGAACTTCTTCTGGATCTAGATCTGCAAAACAAAGGTTTCCAGGTTACAACCAAATAACCAACAAGAGGTATGATGCTGAATTATTTTATTACTCTATAGCAGAAACTCCATATGAGGGAACACACTCCAGGCATATAATGACATGGTACCAATTGACTGGGATCAATACCCTTCGTCTCTAATTATCCATAGTCATCTCAACTCCGCTAGGATAAGCTCCAAAACCACAAGCTCTCGTCAACATTTGTTAATAATTAAAAGGAAAGGAGATTAAACACACATTTTACTAGCTTGATCTGTGCTCATCTTTCCCCCCTCAGAATTTATCACCTTCTATTTTTCTGCTTCTCCCAACATGCTCACCATTCACTTAAAAAGATACTAATCACCATCACAGGTAATTCTCCACAGTAGTTTTTTTTTAAACCAATGAGTGGCTCCTGACTAGAGCAACCATACAGACAATTTGCCATCTAAACCAGGACACATTTCAGAGAGAAAAGGGCGTTGCTGATTATGTCTGAACCAAAGGCATAAACTGGGACTGTCCTGGGCATACTAGACGTAATATATCCTACTCTCAAGCAACATTTAAAAAAAAAAAAAAAAAGTACACTGTAGTATTATTTTGTTCTAGACACACCATGTATGTAGTATGCTAGACTAGACCTACTTCTCACCAGGAACTGTAGTTACTGAAAGCCACTGTTCTGCAATATCGTTGCCACACTAAACAGTTCACTCAAGCTCAGAGTGAATCCTCACAACAACTCCCCTTTTAGAGATAAGGAAACTAAGGTTGAAAAAGGTTAAGTAATCTAATCTGCTCAAGACAGCAAAAAATAGAGGTTAAAGATTTGAACCCTGACTCCAAAACACAGGCTATTAAGCACTCAATCTTCGGCTTCCCAGAATTTACAGTTAAGTTCATTTCTAGTACTAATATTAAAAAGACCAACAAATGATCTAACCCTCTCTACCTTCCTGGTTTACAAAGCACACACCAATTTCAGAGCTAAGAGTAACAGAAGGAAATTCCAAGACATTCTTTCTTACCTAGATTCAGATCTGGACCTGGACTTTGATCTGGAACGCCTGGAATCTTCCTTGGAGCGAGACCTTGCAGGGGTATGCCTTGCGGATTTCCCAGATCCATGAGCACTTCCACTTCTGGAAGCAGAACGGGATTCCTACACGCAGATGTCAAAAGTTTAATTTGTATACTTTCTGGGCAACTTTAAAAACAAATAAGCTGCTGTGAGATAAATGGTGAGGGACAGCAATCCCCTTCCAAGATAAGAAAACGTAGGCAAGGGCAGGAACTGAGTTATACCTGGTATTATAGTTTCAATGCTCCAACTGACATAGTCAATTAACTTGTCCTTTCTTCCGTCTTTTTGGAGCAATTTTAAGAGTTATCTGACCCCGCTCCCTTCAGAAAGGGGTGCAAAAGTCAAGCAGGCAAGGGAACTGTCCCGAGACTGTTTGGGGATTGTTACTCCATAAAGACTAGGGTGAAAAAGAACCTTATTAACTATGACACCTACACTTTATACCTATTTCAATCAGGTTGCAAGCAATAAAACAAAACCCTACAAAGAAACTTATAAAACTTACTTTTGTAAAAATGCTCGAGATTTTTTTTTTAAAGACCTCAACTTTTCAAGTTATATTTATAGCTGAATATGAATAGAGACAAGGATCATCTCAATTTCAAGCCCTGACAGTGGAAAGAAAGGACCAGCTCTGTCCACATCTAACCATGGTGGGGAGTGTAAGAATCTCAAAGCCAGATGGAGTTACAGAAAGGCAGTGAACTGTGCAAGTTAAGAATAAAAAGGGTGCCAGAGAGCCATAGCTAAAAGATGAGCCAGGGAAAACTGCTGGGGAACTGGAATAACAGTAAGCTAGATAAGTCATGTTAAAAAGACACACTGAAACCACAACAGATTAGACCAGGGGCTCCTAATCTATGGGCCTGGAAGGCAGAGTTCAGTAGCTGTATGCAAAAACCAAATCTGGGCATACACCATATACCCACAGCTTTCCCAATCAAGCCTGGGACTAATGAGCAGGTAAACGGCACCAAAAAAGGAAGATATTGAAAGAAAACGGCAAAGGAATGGCTAAACAGGTAACCAGTTCATCAATGAGCCAAAGGTATATGGTCAATTAATCAGCACTAAGGCAAATATAGTACGTAGCTGAACCAAGGAAAAGTTCTGTGAAGGCACCGAAACAGTGGAAGAGGAGAGAAAAACAGAACCTACCCATAATTCCGACAACTATCTGAAGTATCAAATGCAAGACTGCCTTTATTCCTTGTGGTTGATCTTCAGAATACTCTAGCCATTCTCAAAAAAGACAGAAGATACAAGATTTTAAATTAAAGCAGTATGCTTTAGAATCTAAGAAAACGCTTGGAAAAAACTTTTTACAATGCTCAGAGGAAAAAAACTGCATACAACAGGAAAGAGACAAATTAAAACTTGAAGCTTAAAACGTGGAAGGAAACAGTAACACAGCCAATAAAATGAATTCAGGCCTCTAGGCCCAAAACAGCTCTAGAAACATTCAAACAGATTTCAAAGTCATTATAAAACATGGTGTAAGATGACATGAACTATGACAGTGAACACTCCTCCCATAAAGAGACTCAAAGAGAAAGAGATGGTGTCCATTCTGAGTGTAAACAGCTGCCCTTAACTCCAAGAAGGGGATGGTTAGAAGACTACTGCTGCTCTGGGAACCCCAATGAACAATTCCCTGAAATTTCTCTAGCAAATATTCTAAACATTGAGCTATTTAGAAGCATAACCTCCCTTCTCTCTTTGGGTCAACTACCGCCATCTTTACCACAGGTAAAGCTAATCTAGAAGAAAAGCTAGAAATGGGGAACCCAAATGTTACCAAGTATCTTTGTCTATTCCAAGGCTAGAAAGATGACTTCATGGAATGATTATATCCTTTAATGGAAACTGAAGAAAATTCCTCCAGGAAGGGAAAACAGAATATGGGCACTCCATAAAAAAAGCTAAAATACCAATTAAGAAATTTTAGATAACAGCAATCAGTCACAGCCTAAACATATGATTATAGAGGGGAAGTGGGTAGAAAGCCAAGATTCCCTTTAAGCACCTTACTTCATTTAAAAGAAATCTTATTCCAAGCTGAGATGCTTCATCAGAGTCCGTCTCACTAAGAGGGAAGAGACACCACTCCTGCTTAATTTCATTAAGGTGTCTTCAAAATTTTAGATCAAGATCAAACATACTGCAGCATCTAGAAGTTATCAAAGTCTCAGCCTCACAAACTGGTTATGTGGACATTTTTTGGGAGCAGTAATTTCTTAGACCAGGAACAATAGGAAATCATCAAAATGCAAAGATTTTCCCTTCTGCACTGATGAAGCTTGGGCCAACATCTATACAATGCCTCTCCCCTGCTTTTTGTCAGGGATATTTTTAAAGAAGGTAAAGCCCTCTGTAGTTACGTTGACCATTAGCCAATTAGAAAATATATTTAAGAGTATTTAGCTTGTCTAGAAGAAACAAGACCTGAAACTACCAGCCAAATCTAAAAGCACAAAGAAAAGTTAACTTTAATTCAGTTGGGAAAGCACCTATACATAAGAACTGGAAGTCCACTGTCAAGGCTGACAAATCTACAGTGTGTCAACAGATTAAAACTCTACAAAAAGCAGCAATAAGATGCACTACCTGGGTAATATCGTACCTCAAGGACAGGTATCATGAACTTAAAAAGTTAGCATAAAGACCAAAATACCCTTTAAAATGCTCAAGGAATCGAGTTCTTATAGATTGGACCTTAGTTATAAACCAACATATATATCCAGGAATACATCACGAGAAAACAAACCCAGCCTTCCAACAAATACCTTAATCTGTGTCTCTCTATCCTGAGAATGGTAATAATGTCTTAGGAAAACTTTTTGAAAGAGACCAGACTGGGCATTTACATTTCTTAAAAGTAACGTATGTTTCTGATACGTTTTAAGAATTCCACTGACCTAGTGAATTATAGAAATTATATGCTTCCTATCTGATATTTTTCTTACCAAAAGCATCTTCAAGGCACCTTGTTTCTGTTACCTGCTTCCCTGCTTAGCTTGTCCCCCCCCCCTGCAATGGGGCGTGTACCTCGTTGTCTACCCAAGGCCCAGAGGCCTTGTCTCCCCACTGGCCCAGGGCAAGACACTTTCTTTCCCTCAAAGGGATAAACAGGCCTTTCCCCTTTTAGGTGCCAACTACCACCTTTCAGGTCTCCTGATTTAAAAACAACCCACGGGATTGAATGCATTTATATAAAATGACATCGCTGTTACCTCGGCCTGCTCTTAGTTAACAGACTGCAAAGTTAATGTATCAAATAGGGTTCTGTAAATTAACTAACTAGCAGCAGCTTAAACATAAAAGCACACCAAGCCGACAGGCCAAATGCACATATACAACCCCTAATGCAACTACTGCATCCTGGGAATAACTAGTCACCCTGTATTTGAGTTCTATTTGAAAAGCTGGTTTCACCTGTGAGTGACCCTCTTGGATAAAAACAAAGTAAAACTGGACACTCAAGTGCCAGGTGTGACAGCAGCCTCAACTAAAAGGAAGAAATTTTACAAAGCAATAATTAGGGCAAAGCAAATGCAGGAAATGTCTCCTATTAGTGAGGATAATTTCCCTCAGCTTCCAAGATACAGAATAGTTAAATATAAAAAACACAAGTTTCACACTGCAGTAGGCCTAAGCCTCACAACAATTGATCCTTCAAAAAATGCTATTTAAGTCACTTTTTCCAAGAGCTTTAAGACCTGACAACTCTCAGAGAAACTGTCCAAATTTTCAGGAAGGAGAAGTAAAGATGATACTTTTGGTTTGGCTTTCCCAATAGGGTAGAAGACAGTTGTTGGAGGGGTACTGCTGGATTATTTTTGGTGTGTACCTGTCCCATAGAACTATGGTTAACATCGCACCAACTATTCAGCTTCAACACACACACACTCACACAAAAAACCAAACCAATCCCCTCTCCCCCAAGGAAAGAAAACCACAGAAGAGAAAAAGATCTTTTGTGTTGATCTTCCCACTAACTGGCTAGAGACTGGGAAACCAGAACAAAGCTACTTTATAAAACCTGTAGCTATCACATCACAATAGTTAAGTGTTGACAGCAGAAAAGGAATTAAAGCACCTATTACTTTGATTTAGATATCCTGTTCACCTATGTGACCTACTTCATTCCAAGGGAAGCTACTATTTTTTAGTTGTCACCCTAGTCACACTCAGCTGAAAATGACATTAAACAATTTGAACTATCCTGTTGTTTTGCTTGAATGTTGGGGTTTGCTTCTATAGTCATCCTGGTGACGTTCTTTTCAAACACTTTGATAAATTCAGGAAACATCATCCTACTATACATGGGTTCAGTACTGAAAAGGGGGGGTGGGTGGGTCAATGCACTGTAAAAGTTCAGGACGGTGGCACAGACCACCAGGTTCCATTACTGGCAGTACTCAGTCATTCATGCCCCGACACCAGAAAGAGTCAGACAGATGAAAAATCTAGAGGGGAGACCATTAAGCCAACTGTCACCCATGCTGGAGAGCTCATTCCTGCCTAGCATTTGACTACAAAAGATTACTTTCTTAAATTGCATTTCAATCATTTGACTAAGCAGTTAAAATCAGAATTACCTAATTTAACGTTTCCCCTGGAAGGCACTTCTTAACCCTGTATATATTTTCTTCTATTAAACAAATAATGCATGCATGTTTAGCAAAATATACAGGGACACATAAACAGACTAGTAATTACTTAGCGTAGTGCTTTCTGATTCCAGATTACTTCTTATCTTAACTTCATTTTTATTTCTTTTCTTCATTCTTCCGTTTCAAATTCTGACTTCTTTCATCTTCCCCACTTCACACAAATTGCTCAATATTCTACAAGTGGGACTTCTGGTCTGATAATTAGCATGCATTCTTTCTTTTATTTTTTCAAATTTCAGCTTCACTTATTCCTGAGCTTCAAATACTCATTTATAAAACTTGTCAAATGACGACTTCCGCATTTTCCTTCTTCAACATTAACCTTAATAGAAAAAGAACAGGATGAAGAATATTTTAAAACTCCAGGATAAAATCCAGTGCCAAAACTGAAACTAGAAAAAA